GGAGCGAGTTCGCCAAGAGTAACACCTACTATCTATTTCGAAAAACATTGTAAGCGAAATAATTTGAAATAAAGCTTATATGGTGCGTATAGAAATTTTCCTAAGTTCTTATGACTTTAGATGGTAATAGGTATGTAGGTTGTTGAGAAAAACTTCAAACGTGTCTTAGCGCTGTATATCAGATTGTCAAATATCTTTATTATCGACAAGTGTAAATCACGCCGGATATGCACAGCGGTAATTAGCTTAAGTCTAATTTGCGCATAAGAAGAGTTCAGAAAAGACATAAGCTATTCAAAAGTGTTTTTATTATTACATACTTACTCTTACTCCCATAGCAAAGGAACGACGGATGAAAAAAAGAGATTGTCAATAAAATGAGCGCAGATCCTCTTCACCTTTGTTTTGTTCGACTTAATCCCAAACCACCGGGCATAGATGTAAAAACCAAAAGTCCTGTAGCGCCAATTAAACAATGCTTCTATTCCCTCAGTTTGTATTTTTCACTTTCGAAAGAGTTCTCTTCACTGTAGCCCAAAACTGTAACGACTTGACAACGGGAGCTAAACGTGCTTTCTTCCAAGATTGTGAAATACTCTCAATTGGTTCACGCATTGCCCAAGTCACGATCATCAATACTAACTTTACGTTTACCTACATCTGTTCCTTCAATTTCTTCAAATTTCGCAAAGAAGCGAAGATCTCTTAAAAATGTGTGTTGAATAAACGCGGCTTTATGTGGAGTAAGCAATTTAATTTCAGAGCTTAGAACAACGTACAATAAAATAAATGGTATTACATAATTGCTACATCAAAAGCTTCCTGCCATAATTGGATATTGATAAAAACTTGCATGGATAAAATCGATAATCATTCCGCGATCGTACGAGATGTTTAAAATTCCTAATTTACTACTGAGCCCTTTGAAATTGCTCTAAATTTTTAACAGGCGATAGAACACATGTTCATCTAAACGAATCTTAATAAAATAAAATTTACAGTAATAACCAAAACTTTTTGAAAAATGTTCGACAAACAACAAGTTGTCCTCTCTTGTACAATTTACTCATAATTTTTTATGCATAAAATTTTATTGTAGTTGAAATCATTTACTTACTAATAGACACAATAACTATCGGAAATTAAAATCTATGCCTTATTCATACAAATTCAATTGGCATGCATTCTCTCTTTACATTTCACTAGTGTTTTTCACACAAGTTCAACTGACATGCCTTTTCTCTTTACATTTTACTAGTGTTTTTCATAAAAATTCAACTAGCAACCAACTGAACCACATTCAGAGTCGTTTTTTCAATTCAACAAGTTATCAACAAATGCAGACTCGCTCTTTTAATTCTTTCTCAATTCTCGCCAAATTCAGACTCTTTGAATTTCTAAAAATCAAACGTAAAGTCTCTTAGAATTAGTAAAAATCAAACGACAGGTCTCTAAAAATAAACAAAAACCACTCAGAATGTATATGAGAAAAAATACATATGTTTTTTGATAGAAGTAAACAAAAGCTACAATAACCGCATTTACTTATTTCCGGTGAATGCTTTGGTAAATTAATCGTGCCCAAAGAACATTATATATAAATAAATATATATATTTATAAAGAAATATTTTTTATTGTTTATTCAATGCCAAAACTTCCGAATATTAGCTAGTAATCTCTCATTATGTGCACAGAACATCATTTTCAAAATCAGAAGAACATTAAGATCGCGCTAACAAACGGTTACATAGGAATATATACGAGAAAAAAGTTAAATTGTAGCAACAACAATACGCAGGAATTGAATCTGTGTTTGAATTGAATCTCTTTGATCTGTTATTTAACAGAATTGAATCCCTTTTGTCGGTTAAGTTGGGCATTTAACGTAGTTGATTGGCGTTAACATTTAAGTTGTTAAGTTTTTGCAGATATCTGTCGGCCTCTAAGGTGTTAAAAGAGTAAAATAACTTGAAATCGTTTGCAAATATTACGGATTTTGAAGATAGTAAAAAGGATGACAGGTGGTTAATAATAATTTTACAAGTTAGCCTAAAAGTAGACCGCCGTAATTTTTATTATCAAGTTTAAATAGCAGTAGTGGAATAATCTGTTAAAAAGGCAAAGCAGTAGTGGAATGATCTGTTAAATTGCAAAGCCGCCGGCATTTATATCTGCTGAATTAAAAAAATGTAAAAAGACAAAAAACAAATTAAAAAGCTCTGTTAACATAACAAATCAATGTAAACAAAACTGTATACAAACCTATGCAAACAAAAAAATTAACAATTTGACAAAACATATATATATATATATATATATCTATACAAATAAATATATAAATAAATATGTATAAATATATAAGTAAATAAAATAACGTATATGTTAACTCGGACGGTTTATTTACCGTATTTGTGGAACTCGGACGTTTATTTACCGTATATGTGGAAGTCGGACGGTTAATTTATCGTAATGCTATTCTCTCTCTCAAGTTACTCTCTTTATTGCGCTCATTCTCTCACACAGAGGCAATAAATCTTTTGAAACTTGAAGAGATGTGTTGGGAAATAATGAGATATAGAGAGAGAGATGGAGAATAACAAAACACTATATGTCGAAAGTTCTGGCCAACAAATACTTTGAATTGGTAAAGCAGTAAAGTAAGTTGAAAATATACTGAAATTTATTTGAAAAAATCCAGTTCTGTGTATTTTTTTATTCGACAAAGGAGTGAAGATTTACTTTTTTACTTTTATATGCCAGCTCTCCACTTAGACCGGTTTCATTGTCAGAAGCAGACACACAAGGAATTCCAGATAACAGAAGTACCCTGTAGTCTAATTATATTTTATGATTTCAATTACTTTTTTTATTTTTATATGCATTTTGTTATTTATTGTTATTATTTTTTATAAGTCGCTAGCATTTTTGTAACGAATAGCAATTTCAAAGAAGAGAAATTCTTTATAAAGTGAATACAAACTTTAACTATTTTCGTTCATTTTCTTAGTTATTATTGAATTATAGAAAAACATAATATTTCGCAATCAATATGCATATTGAAGTACAATTTATACTACAGTTCATAATAATTAAAATAAATCCTAATGAAAATATTAAATTTTGAAGCATTAGCTATTGAGAGCTGTAAGGAGGTGAGGACATTTTCTAATAAGTTGTCATGTGTTCACTAGGATTAAATCAACAACGAGAATTCATTTCCTCAGTTTTCCTAAATAATTTAATATTTTTTCCTGGAAAAATAGCTGATTATGGCATTGCGCAATGTTTACATATTGAAAATAAACCTAGACGCAACCAAATAGTTGTTTATAATAATAAAAGAATGAGATTTGCTTTTGTAATATAGTATTCCAGCATAGGAATGTTGATAAAAAAAAAGCGAGTTATTAATCAATTAATTAATTAATCTCCACGTTTCAGCATCAAGTTTTATTGTATGCCCTTTTCAAAAGACATTGTCCATCTCGCTTATATTTAAAATTACAATGTCGCTTAAAGTTCATTAACATTTCACGTTGAGAATTTCATTTTTATATAAAATTTAACGTTGTGCGTGTTAGGAATGATAGTGAACAATAACGATATCAGTTTTTATTTAGAACTTAGAGAGTCCACGTCCAGCAATCGTATGATTTAAATAAAAAACACATAGCCCACGCTAAATATTTTCTCAGTTCGTCAAATATTTTCTTAGTTATTCAATTTCATTCAATTATTATCAAAACTAAGGTTTAAGAACTTTGTATTATAACGTATGAAAGCAATGAGAGCAAAAACTTCGAAAACAAAACTTAGAAGAACATTTAATTGCCCAAATGCAATCTGCAACACAAAGATTGTGTTGACAAGTCTCCGATTCACTAATCGCTTCGTCTGCTGGGATTACTAGGATTGGTTAGATTTTAAAAATATCTCGAATGAACAAGCTTGTGCGTTCGAAAAACACCAGATGGCACCATTTTTTGCATTAAATTTGCAGTCACATTACAATCTAACAAGTGGTTTATTCAGAAAAAGCTCATTTTATTCAAAGGAGGTGACGTATCCTTTGCTACAGAAAGAAAGATTTCACGATTCTGCTGACATTTTTCATTTAATTGATGCTACCATTGACGTGAACGCAATGAAAATTCACTGCGTTCATTTCTTCGAACAACAGCTCAACAAAAGGTTTAATGTGAATTGATTTTCTCGTTTCGTTTGCCCACCTAAAAGAATGCAATAAGAAGCCACTTGACGGAATATAATCGACTATTTTGTATTCATCATATTTTATATTCATCATTATTGAGACACATTTTATTCACAGTACAATCTAGCCAATCAAAGGTAAATTGCAAAAGCTACCTATTCTATATTAGTAAGGAAAAGTGAAATGATTTTAGAAATAAAGTAAATTTTGTAAAATAAACCTGAAAATGAATAGAAGACCGCTTAGGCAGGTTTTACTGTAGAGGATAATAGGAGCAATGACTGTCTCTCAGCTGCATAAGTCGAAAAGATGTCTTCCAAAAAGAAGAGAAGGAATGTACAGATGATTGTCAAACGACTCTAAAATTCCTTGAAGGCTGGAACGTCTATGGAAATATAAGGCAGCAACAATATTCGCAACTGTGAAGTTGCGGGTGAAAAGAAGCAAATGCCGCCCGTCAATTTAAAATCCACATCAAGATGCACAATATTTTATTTATTCGGCAAAAAGCATTACGCCTCCATATGTTTACTCAATATACATACAGCTTTCATGAGCAGCAATTCTATTAAATTGAAAGAGCAACTGCGAAGTAAGTCTGCAACTGGCAGCAATTCTATGAAATTGAAAGTATAACTGCGAAGTAAGTCTGCAACTGAGCTAAAAGCTAAGACCGAAACTTTAACAGACATTCAGACATTCAGCAGCTGTACATAGATATTTTTAAAGATTTTTTACTTAGTTATCTTAACTATTTTGACGGAAGAGGTTTACGAAGAAAATTGCAGTTAAATTACACGGTTAAACCATCAAATAAAAAACAACTCTTTCGAAGAAGTGAATGGGGCACGAACGATAATTTTTATTGAGAAGTCTTTCGTACAAAAGAACGGAAGCTGCGAATATAAATTACTTTAAATTAAAATATCTAATGACGTAATCAGTTGGGAAGAATTTTTGATGAAACAAAATATTTACAATTTAATCCTAACGCACAAAAAACCCATCGTCTTTAGAAAGGAAAGCGAAAGAATTCTCAAAAGGATGTAAACACTCCGAATTTTAAGTCTGCGAATGTATGTTTATGTGTTTTGTGAAAATAGCGTGGTCTTTCATTAGAAATCACATCAAATTAATTACTCAATAGCCCTCTTGCCCAGTATTCAGTATTGAAACGTTTATTACACAGCTGACGCACGAAAGGGATTCAAATTCTTTTTACCACTATATCGATTTTTCAGCATTAATATCTTACAAGAATATATAATCTGTATATCTGTATCGATTTAGGGTTATCGATGTAACCGTGGTACATATTCTGAATAAGCACGAAATTTTACATCCCAAAGCTTTTTGTCTGTTTCTCCATTCCTCCCGATGGTACCTAAAAACAAATTCGCCAAATAGGAAACGCGAACTTAACAATAAAGCTAATGTGCTTTAGTTGTCAAGAAATGATATTTTTTCTGCTCTTCACAATCTAATTGAAAATTTAATTAAAAGACCGAATTAGAAAACTTCTCTCATCGTTCTTCCCTCTTTAAGATAATCAGTGAACAGAAAAACACGCGCAGCCCTAACAACGGAGTTCATAAATGTTCTAAGCAACTTCGCACGTCTTTCATCAGATCCTTTTAATTCAGCGGACTGTCGAGTCGACACCGAAGTGTTGACGTCCAATGTGCGTCCAATGTACCGTAGGAAAAATACTTTTTTTGCAGTTAAAAAGCCCAAATAGTGTTCCACCTAAATTGCAGTCTTTTTTTCGTTCAGCGAATACAAGCAGTACCAACTTGGAAAACAGCCTTCTCAAGCATAAATTTTCATACAAAATAATAAACTGCTTATGCATATCTTTGTCGTAAATTTCATTTTTCAATTATCGAGAATAATTTTGAAAAAATTTTCGATGTATTCTGATGGAAGCACGTCTTTTGGGCATCCACTGCCTTCAGCGATATCTGTACGAGCTAGTGTAAAATCAAATCAGTAAACTACCGATAAATCATTTTTTTCGAGAGAAATGAAGTTCCCGAGAGTAGTAGTTCCCAAACCACTTAAAAATTAAGAAATTAAAAAAAAATTATGAACAAATGAAGTTCGAAGCCATTGCATTTGGTCAACAAATGATCGAGGAGATATGAGACTTTTGCAGGTCTCGTTTGAAAGTTAGTACTTTCTAAAAATAAGACGGAATGTTTTCAGAGATGTCATCTATATTTACGTCCTTGGACTTAATTATTGCCGTGCTAATCTTTTCGCTTGGATCGGTATAATTGCCGTTAGTTCCGCAAGGGCAAAGTAATTTAAGTGATACCACGCGAAAATAAAGTTTATTATGTTCTAAATAAACAGTGCTAACTGACAACTGTGAAGATGATGTTGCGAAGTGCTATTGTTTTAACGACTTTAATTGTTTTCAACAAAGTTACAAGCTTTTCAAATAATTCAGATGATGCTGAAAAATATAACGTAGGCGGTGTTTTAAACGATTTTGAAAGTGAAAAACATTTCCGTTTAACAATTTCGGTAAGAAGTTAGACAAAATTTTTTTAAAATTTTTCAAAAAATAACAAAAATAAATTCTTTTGCATTATCCAATAGCATTTAAATTTTGATCAAAATTATAAAACCAGCCGCAATATGACTTATTACGGTAAAACTATACGCATGGATAAAAATCCTATAAAAACTGTTTTCAACGTTTGCGACAAGCTTATCGATAAAAGAGTAAGTATTTTTAATATTTTACGCCTTTACATCTGACAGCTCGAGGAAGTATGAAGCCCGTGTGAGATAATAAGCTGGCGAAAATTTTTCCACAGAAAAAGATTCTGCAAAGAAACTGCGTCCATATCCTTTTAGTATCCGCCAATGAAAATTTAGTTACTAGTTTTATATTTTCGTTCGTCACACCCGGACATACATATATATTGAAGATCCCATAAAATTTATGTATTCTTCTATATTATCGTAGTACGTTATATCAGTCCGTCCGTTGAATGTATTTGGTTAAAATCTAGATAGAAAACTAAACTCTGGCATATATTTTTTCCGTTTATGTTTAGTGATCTGTCTGTTCCGAGGGCAACAAGTAAAAACCTGAAATTCACAGCAAATTTTATCATTCAAAACCACGGTAAAAAAGGGACATTATCTCCCTACAAACACAGTGCACAGATTATAATAGGTGCTTAAGTTAATTTTGATTAGTGGCATTTATTGGCGAAAATGATAAAGAATGTGGTCAACATGTACAACGGTTAAATTCTACCGTTTTGTCTTTTCTCCACGTATAATAATGATTTTGCATTCAGTATTATTGAGTTATTCAGTTTATGCAGATGCTAATGGACGAACGCTCAAAACTGCATTGTGGAAATTCTACTTCTAAAACTAGTTTTATCGTTTGTTTTGAAGAAATCTGCTGTCCAATTGTCGGTTTTGGCTTCAACAGCTTAAAAGTGATGATTTTAATGTCGGTGAGAAAGAACCGCCTGGAGGGCAAAAAAAGTTTGAAGACAAGACTTATAGAACGAAAACCCATCTCAAACTCTCAAAGAACTTTCAAACAGCATGGTAGTTGATGAATCCAGTTCCTTCTAGACGTTAACATACGAGAAAAGGGTCCAAAAGGAAGGAAAATGACTTAATTGACTGAAAATGCCATTTCGAACCCTTTCAACATCGCTACATTGCTTGCCGTCGCATATTGTGGTGGTCGATGAGAGGTGGGTTTACTACGATAATCCAAAGTGCAAAAGTCATGCGTTAGTCCAGCGAAACCATCCTACGTGCAATCAAAAGTGCACCCGCTCTGCCGTCAATTCGATTTGTAAAAGCCTGCCATTTAATCAAAGAATAAACGTATCCATAATGATAGCTTTACTTATTTAAATTCTTCGCAACTTTAAATGGACCAGCTCTAATCGTTGCCTCACTCTGTACGTTCTTCTTATGAACTTGCCACTTTCTGTACTGTTCTGAAGAAGCCAAATAGACGTTAAAGGTCCTGTCTTTCAAAAAGCTTTGTGCCATTTTAACACAATTTTAACAATTTCCAGAGGACAGTTCTGACGAAGCACCGGCATTTTTTTTTTTTTTTTTTTTTTTTGGTATGTTGAACAGAGATGTACTAAGCCAATAGTTTTGTTGCTTATATGTCCAAATAATAAATTGTTGTAATTTTTAGTCACGATTATGTATAAAACGTAACAAAAAAAAAAAAGAGCGGCCGTAATAACTGGAGTGAGCATATTAAATGTAATTGTGTGTGTGTGTGTATGTAAGTGTGCTTGTTGAGTGCTTGAAAGTTAGACAGTGTTGCAAACTTTGGCTGAAAACGAAAAGGAATGTTATGGTAATTGAAAATGATTGAACGCAAAAAAACGCCCGCCCTTCAAGGGGGTGAGGCTCTCAAACATGTTATCAAATGATGATGATTTCGAAAATTTTGTTCGAATCACGCATAGCAAGGGTTCATTTAAAAGAAGAATCACAGCCCAGAACGAAGGTCTCAAAAAGATCATCTCTGATAAGAACAATTCATCTGTAAAAGACTTGACTGAGGATGTCAATATCACCTCCTTAAAGTCCCCGATCGCTCCCTCTAGGAATAAGCCTCCCAATAAAGACAGCTCTGTGAACAGTAACAATAATAGTAGTCCCATAAAAGGAAAGAGCTCTGACCCAACTAGTCCAAATCGTTATAGTGACGACACGACCGGTGAGTGCTACGTATTCATTGAAGTATGCAACAATAACCTAGAGAAACCTTTTCGCCTTAACTCAGATTTATTTTTTTTCGAACACATCAAAGATCTCAAATTGGATGGTTTGATTAATATCAAAACCGTCAGCAATGGCAAAGCCAAACTTGGTTTTGCCACTGCGGTTGATGCCAACAACTTTATAATAAACAATGATTTTGGTCCAAAGTCTTGCAAGGCCTACATCCCTAGAATTTTCACAGAAAAATTTGGGATCGTAAAAAACATTCCACCTTCAATTAAGGAAGAGGACTTTCTCAACTCAGCTACCTCTGATATTGAAATCATTTCTGTTACAAGAATCCTCAGAAGAGACCCTGCAGACAGAGAAATGTTCATCCCTACAAACAGCCTAAAAATTGGTTTCAAGGGTAAACTAATTCCCAAGAGTATAAAATTCAACTATTGCAATATTCCAGTTGACTACTTCATTCCTTCCGTCAGGCTCTGCTATAATTGCGGCCGATTTGGTCACATCGCCAAATTCTGCAAAAGTAAGGAAAGCAGATGCCTGAACTGTGGCAAGTCACCGGCCTGTCCTACGGACTCATGCCTCTCAATCAAATGTCTAGGTTGCGGGTCGCTGGACCACAACGTAACATTTCGAGAGTGTCCAAAAAGAAAGAAAGAGGAAAATTTAAAAAAATTTTAACCATCCAGAACTTATCTTTTAGAGAATACAAAGAGAAATTCTCTAACAACCCATACAATTTACTTGAAAACTATGACGTAAACTTCCCAGCAATGAAGGACAGCAATGCTCCTAACAATATCAGAGACCCTACTATTGATACAAATAATATTTTAATTAACAAAAACTTCAATGCAGTTTTAAAAAATAAAACAAGTATTCCCAAGTCCTTGCATAGAATGTCTCTCAAGACGTCCTCGACTTACAGTAACAAGTCGCAGGAGCCAAAAAAACCTACCCCGCCCCCTGAAAAGCATACTTTCATCAATTACCATAAATCCACTGAAATGGAGATAATTCTGGAAAAGATTTTCAAGATTCTCTCCATCTCTTCTCAAGAAGACATGCTTAAAACCATCCAAACAGAAATAATTTCCCTTAAATGAAAATTTGATCTTTTAAAACAAGGTACATCTGGGTCGGCCCTATCATGTTCTAACATTTCTCATGACGTCCTTCCTACAGTATAACATACAAAGCTTCAGGCGTAATGCCCATTCTCTTGATTTTTTCATAAATTCCAACCGAACTGATTTCGCCATCTTGAGTGAAATCTTTCTGTCCGATGAAAAAATTTCCGATCTCAAAATCTCAAATTACAACTCCGCTTATAAATGTAGAAGTGACGGCTATGGAGGTGTTGCCATCCTTGCCAGAAAAGGCATATCCTTCAAACAAATCCCATTTAAATCGAATGCTGACATAGTCATTATCATGTCTAAAACCTAATATCGTCATTGCTGCTTGCTATTTCAAGCCCAACATCCCCATTCAATCTTTCCGGGATGACTTTAATCGTGTCTGTGATATGCTCAATAGTTTCCACAATGTCATAATTGCAGGAGATTTCAATGCAAGACACCCTTGCTTTGGTGACTCCGTGTCAAACAATAAAGGCAAAGCCTTGCAAGAAATCATTAAAGCTAGTAACTTCTATTGTCTGAATGATAATTCACCAACCTATTTTCACTCTACGACCAACAATTGTGGTAGCGTGTTGGATCTTACTTTCACTAACGCAACCCATCTCACATTCAAACGGGAGGTTAAAAAAGAAATTTTCCTGGGAAACAGCCACCACCTTCCTATTCTCTTTAATGCCACCTCTATTACCTCGTACAAGATAAATGACTTTATCTCGAAGAAAAAACTCCTAAATAATCTTATTCACGTATGTCTTGAGCCACAGGTCGAATCTATCCAGTGCTCATTTCAACAAGAAATAATTAACACCAAATCCGACATCCAAATCTCGAATTCCTACTCACCAAAACCTTGGTGGAACGAGCTGCTCACTTCACAATTCCGTAGATTACAGGCTGCTAAACAAAAATTTTCCAAATACCCCAATATTTCTAATTTTGAAGATTTCAAGTTATCACAAAAAGAATGGAAGAAATCGATTAGAAAAGCCAAAAGATGCCATCGAGCCCTCGTTATCGAAGAGCTGTGTTCAAATAGCAATACAAAGCCATTCTGGAAATTTTTAAATGGTCATCGCACCACAAAAAAGAAATACAAGCACCCCATTTGGGATGATCTCAACAACAAATCCTACCTTGAATGGCTGAAAGCTCAAGTTCCCTCGACATGTGGTCTCCAAACCTCCTTACTTAACTCTCGGATGGAAAACATCTCTCCATTCTCCCTTGATGAACTCATGCACGTCCTTAAGTCGAAAAAGAAGTCCACAGCAGCAGGCCATGACGGAATCAAATATGAAATGATAAAGGTCCTTCCCATGCCAAGCCTTCTAACCCTGCTATCTGCTATAAATGAGCGCTGGATGACCAACTCGTTTCCCACCGTTTGGCGTACAATTAAAATAGTGCCCATTCCTAAACCCGGAAAAGATCTTGAAATATTCACCAACTTCAGACCCATATCCCTCTTGCCTGTTCTTCTAAAAATTACCAACCAAATGATTAAAGAAAGACTAACAAAATTCCTGAATCACTCACACCTTCTCCCGTCAAGGTCCTTTGCTTACCAAAAAAATATCTCCACCGGTATGTGCCTTAATGAAGTCCTTTTCACAATTGCAAATGAAAAAGCAAATGGGAACCAGGTAGTTATGCTTTGCTTAGACATTAATAAAGCTTATGACTGTGTAAACTTAGCGAAACTGGACCAAATTCTATCTGATTTTAAAATCCCGACACAAAATAGGCATTGGGTTCTCAACTTTCTTTCCTCGAGAACTCTCGTATTAGATTCACATACAGTCGAAGTTTGTGGAGGCTTACCTCAAGGTAGCTGTCTCAGCCCAG